CCATCCCTTAAATACACCTGTGCCAGCCCAGCTGGGCTGGGCCTCTCCAGATGCATACACCCAGGCTGCCTTTGGTTTCCAAAATACATGGAATAAGGGGTGCTGCAGCATCAGGAATGCCTGGGAATAAGTGAGAGATTCCCCCTGTTGGTTAGAACAGCCTGTCCCTGGAAGTAGGTGCTCAAACCAAACCCCCTTCCTCCTGAAGCTTTGGTTTCTCAGTGTGTTTCCTCATGTCCATGGATTTGCTGCTCAGGGATCTATTTCCCTCCAACACAACCAAATATTTTTGGAGAGGAGTGTTGCTGCACCATAGACTGTCTTGGAGTGCCTCGTTTTCCTGGCGGTTTTCAAGGTGCTTGTTTCTTCAGTGTTTGATGGAAGAGTTCCCTGGGGTGGTTTGGCTTTGCCTGACAGTTTTGGGCTGTGGTGGGAGTTGACAGACCCCTGCCCCAGTTTGGGTCACAGCATTAATGCTCAGGGGGATGCTGAGCAGGCTGTGAGGAGATGTCTCTTTGTTAGGACAGCCCAGAACCGGCTGTTTGGGTTGGGGGGATGCTGTTGGATGGAGCTGTTTGTGGGTGCCTTGTGGCTGGAGCAGGTGTTTGGGTGACTCCCAGCAGTTGGAGCTCCTTGAAGCTGAGGATTCTCCCCTGTTCCCTTCAAAAGTGAGGCTTGAACAGGTCCTTACTCCTGAAATGTTCCAACTTGAAAGAAACCACCAGTCAGACAGCAGTGAAAGGGCACAGGGTGATGTTTATCACCAGGAGCAGCTCTTGGCAGACCTGTTGGATGTTTGTAGACCACAGTACATCAGGGTGGGCTCTCCTCCAATACTGTGATGCCTGGCTGGGAGTTATCCATGTTCCATCCCTTCCTTATCCATAATGTTCTGTGTTTCTGTGATGTTATGGGATACTTAATGCCCGTCAGGGAGGGGCTTTGCTGCTGGATTATAAATGTAAATGATGCTTCAGGCATACCCTGTTCAGCTGATATCATAAATGCATTTTAGGTAAGGGCTTGACACTGGTTTCCTTTGGGATACCTGCCTTCCCTGGCCACAGCCAAGTCTTGAGGAGCAAGTTTAGCTGGAAAGGAACAAGTCAGCTTAGAAGCAGAGAGTTTTCCAGTTGTGTGGCGTGGATGTGTTCCCTCCTAATTCAAACAGGGTGAGCAGGAAGGTCCCGCTGCAGATTTTCACCCATCCCTCACCATCTGCATGTGTTTTTCTGCACATCAGCCGCTGGAATGAGGCTGTTGTTGGGTTGGAGCTGCTCTGGAAGGGTCTGTTTCAAATTTAGGGTTTCAAATGTAACCATTCCAGCAGCTTTTCCTTCAGAAAGAGACCTTGAGTGTGACTTGGTGGCTCTGAGGTCGGTGGCTTGGTGAGCTCAGCAATCAGGAGCCGCAGGAGAGGTGAAACATCTTGATTTCTGCCTGTTGCATTCCCAGAAAAGCTGTCCTGTGCACCACAGTTTTGTGTCACACTGTATCCTTAATCCTTGCTTGTTCAGTAGCACGCTCTGACTGTCCCTATGACACGGAGCTCGTGTTGAGGAGCCGTTCACACATGCTTTTCATCCAGCCCTCCTCCTATTCCCTGTGTTCCTGAGCAAGGACTTACCCTGCTTTGTCTATCCTGAAGCTCATCACCTCCCCACAGCAGCTCATGGAGAGCCCTGTAGTTTTCAGGTTTGACCTTTGTGCCAGGGTTTTCAGGCAGGTGATGGAGTTTTTGGCCAAACCCTTCCCATCCTTGCTGGGATCCTGTGCCCTGCGCCTGATGGTGCTGTGTCAGCCGGGCACAGGCAGCAGGAGGTTTGCTGGGAGCTTAACTCTGAGAAAATGAGCTCAGGTGAGCTCAGGTGGTGCAGCTGGAGCTGCACAAGGGGCGTTTTCAAGCAATAAAGACTTGTTTTGTTTTAAAGGAGTGTTCTTGAAATAATGGGCTGTTTTTTCCGAACCGGATTTTAGGCATTTTTTAAACCCATGGAAGGATTTCTGCTTCTGTTGCTCCCATCTTCACGGAATCAAAGACTCACCCTCCTGATGGCACTTTGCTTAGCTGAGATGGAAAAGTGTTTCAGGGCTGGAAGTCCTCTGGCTGTGGGCACAGCTGGAGAGCTTTTCCTGAGCAAAGACAAATCCCTCCTTAAAAGTTGCCATTAAAACTAATTCGGGGGCATTTTCAACACGCCGTTTTTCTTCAGCTCCCGCGGAAATGCGAGTTCTGCTTTTATTTTGCCTTTCCCAGAGTCGATGCCAAGCCATTGATTCAAAGAGAAGCAGCTCCAACATCTTAACTGCCAGCTGCAGGAATTCCCAAGTCTTGCTGCAGATCCCACTTGCCCTGTTGTTGGATTTTCTGCACCTTGAAGAGGCTGGTGCAGCCCTTGGGAAGAACGTAGGAACAAAGAGGAGCTGGGACTGCTACAAACCCACATGGAACAGGAAGGGATGGAAAATTACACATGAATGCTGGGGAAGGAATGAAAAATTACACCTGGCTGTCAGCTGTTGGTGTTTCTTGCTTTAAGCAGTGTGTGGAGGGGTGATGGCAGGGCTCATTTGTAACAGGGCTGTGGTTTTAGCTGCTTTACCAGGTAAACTGTCTGTTTGTAAATCTTGCATGAAGTCATTTTTAAGGCAGGAGAAGCTGCTTTAATGAGACTGTCTTGGAAGCAACACTTGCTGTGATCTAGTATGACCTGCTGCACCTTACAGGAGGTTGGATTTCACCCAGAATCCCATCCTTGGGTCCAATAGGGTTGAGTGGAGCTGCTGTCTTTTAATTTAAAGATCTCAACTGGTGGAGCATTGGTGTGTTTCGTAGCAACCAGCCAACCAGCCACCTTCAAAGCAGCTTTGCCTTTGATTTGAGCCTACAAGAAAGATGGAAAGGGACTTTTTACAAGGGCGTATAGTGACAGGACAAGGGGGGATGGCTCCACAGTGTCAGCAGGAGGGTCAGATTGTATATTAAGACAAAACTCTCCCTGGTGAGGCCCTGGCACAGGTTGCCCAGAGAAGCTGTGGCTGCCCCATCCCTGGAAGTGTTCAAGGCCAGGTTGGATGGGGCTTGGAGCAACCTGGTGTAGTGGATCCCATGGCAGGGATTTGGAATGAGATGAGCTTTAAGGTCCCTTCCAACCCAGCTCATTCTGTGATTCTGTTTCTTGTGAACGTGGACTGTCTTCATCTTGAGTTTATCTCAGTCCCTGTCCCAGTAGCTCCCTGGGCTACAGCACGTGCAGATGTTTAATAACTTACCTTTGGTTCTTTCCTTGGCTTAGATAGATGCAGATGCACTGTGTTTTCCAGGCTGGGTTGTTTCTTATGATCCCTTGAATCCTTTCCCACAGCCCAGCTTCTCACTGGAGGATCTCACGGACCCCCGTAGGTGGGAGCAACTTTCTGTTGACATTTATAGCCAGGAAAAATAAACTCTCCAGTGACAAAGAGCAGATTTAGTTTTTTTACTCCTTTGTGGGGCTGTGGCAGAGGAGGATCTCAGGGAGATGAGCATCATCTGGAGCAAACCCTCTTGGACCCACTCTCCTCAGTCGGGGTATTTGCAGAGCACTGTCGTGCCCGTAAGAATCTGGCTGGAATTGCACAGGCAGAACGGGTGTCTTTACAATCCAGTGGCTTGTGTAGCCATGTTGTGTGTCTGTAATAGTCTGGTCTGGTCATTCTGGTACACCTGGGTCATCCACTGCTCGTTCCATGGGTGCAGAATGATTCCCTGAGGAAGCTGGGAGCGAGCTGGTAGATTTATCTTGTTGAGACAGAAACAGTTGATGGTCAGGAAATTGTTGCAGAAGGACAAATTCGCTAAGCTTGAGCATTAAGTCTCAATTTTTGAGATTCTTGAACATTAAATTCTTGAACACAGTTTTTTCCTGTCATGCTCTTTGACTATGGAGGACTTGGAAAGGTGTTAAAAATCCTCCTGATTTTTGCACACAGCTTCAAGCACTGGCACAGCAGCAGAACCTCCCTCCTGCTGAGTGTATAATTTGGGGCCAAGCAGATGATGCTTTCTGGACTGCTGTGGTCTCACCTTTGACCACTGGGCCTGGTGAACACTGGGGTTCAAACCCTCTTTGGTATTTCACTTCCAGCTCTTCCTGTGTATTTAGAGATTGCTCTCTACACAGCTGAAGTGGCATGGACCTTCCTCTAGAGACCCTGAGCCTCAGGATGGGCACAACACACTGCTAGGACTGTGTGGGATGGCAGGGTTTTAGCCTTCTGAACTACATTAAGTGTCTCCCCTGTGGTGCTGCCCATGTTGATGCTTTCAGCCACTTGACTGAAGCTTGTTTTGGAGAGGAACATTTTCCCTCTCACCTGTGGAATGGTTTGTGCTGCTCTTCCTCTTCTGGACGGGCTTATGGCCTTGCTCCATTCATTTGAGAGCAAGGACCAGCAAGGATTTGAGTCTGTGGTCTCTCGTGGCTTGCACAGATGTGACCTCTTGAGTGCTTCTCGGACCTCTTTTGATCCAAGCTGCTGCAGTTTTAGGTTTTCCATAAAAGTCTGGTTTTGTAGGTGGTGTAAAGATGCTTGTCCTGATCACAGTGGATGCACGAAACTTCAGGTTTGATTTTAGGAATGAGCTTGTTTCCAAAGGCAAGATAACTTACTCAGGTGTGGCCTTCATCGCTCCAAAGTAAGTGTTTGAACAGGTTCTGCCAGGAGCAGGTTGAACCTTACTCAGGCATCTCATCCATTTAGGCTGGATGTCAGGAAAAGGTTCTTTCCCGTCACTTTTCTTTTGCTGTCCGAGAGCCAAATCCTTCAGGAAGTCCCTGTGTGTTCAGGTATGTGGGGATACAGCTGAGGCCTCGCTCTGTGGTGCAGAGCATGGTTCACTGTGACAGCTGCTGTGACCCAGTGCTGTGCTGGGGCAGATGTGCAGCCAGCTGTGGGGCTGGAACCTTTGCAGACAAGGCTGCAGCAGCTCCTGTGGCCCACACCGAGCTCTCAGGGGGCTGTGTGTGTGTGCAGGGCTCTCGTGTTCTGCAGAGGAGCATTCCAGCTTGGTTCCTCGTGCTGGAGATGTGTCGAGGCTGTCCAGCTGCAGTTTGCAGTGCTGTGTGACTTGAGAGTTTGGGGTGCTGCTGTTCTCCTTTTATTTTGGATAAACCACACGAACAGGGCTTCTTGTGGTGATACCCAGTGTAAGCCTTGTGTTCTCCTGCCTTCCACACAGCTTTTAATCTAAAAGCTCTTGAGCTGGAGCTGTCAGACTGCTGTCACCAGTTCTGTTTCCTTCTGCTCCTGGGAACTCAGGAATGGAGACTTCAAGACTTTTCACTGTCCCCTACAACCACTCCAGGCTTCAAAAGCCACTTCTTTTGTCCCAGTGTAGTTTCATCTCATGTTGCCTGTGAGTATCCTGGCATGATGAGGGAGGGAGCTGTTTGATGCTGCTGTTCTTATTTTGGGATATAGAGCTGAGAGCTCCTCTCTCCCATTAAGTAAAAGAGCATCTTTGGAGCTGAGTGTTTTGCTGAGCAGTGCTCAGGGCCATAGGGACCCCTTTAGGCTGCTGTAATTCAGCTTAAAGAGGTGATTGTGAACACAGGCACAGGCCACCAAAATGCTCTGCAGAGCCTGTGGTGTCTCCCTGAGTAAGAATATGTCTCAGCTCAGGGATCTGGAGTTCCTTGTGTTAGACCACCTCAGGTTATGTATAAAAAGCTCACTGTGGTGTGGTTCTCCCTCATTTTTTGCTGGAGGGAGGACTGTGATATCAGCCTTCCTAAAGTCACTCCCTAAGGCTTCTCTGATCCTCATCCTGCAGTTCCTGCAGAGGTCCAGGTTCTCCGCTGGCTTCACTCGTAGAGATGAGGACTCGTGAGTTAGAAATGGTGAGAAAATCCACCTTGAGCTTTGTGACTGTCTCCTCCTTTGGTTTTCCTAATTATAAATTAAGTGGGGATAATCTGTCTTCGTGTTGCAGGCAGTGTTGCAGAACAATAAGCAAAAGCCTCGATCTCTTCCAGTCTGGGCAGTCACTGGGCAGTGATCAGGTCTGTTTTCAGTTACTTGTCCTACATTTCCTGGTTTCTTGTGTATCTGTATCAATGTGTGTATGTGCACTTTAGGAACCACGGAGCAGGAGTTGAGCTGGACACCAGGAGGAGTAGAGGAGGTGCGTAAGAAAAAAACAGATCCTAGATCTTGGAGATCGGAATAACCTGGTGGGAGAAAGGTTAAGGGCTAAAAACTCTCCAGGTTTCCTGAAGTCTGAGCAATTATTTAGGTCTTACCAGAGTCTCTGAAGAAGAGAAGGCTGTGGGGCTTATGTGAAACAAGGCTTACCTGTAGTATTGGGAGGGAACATCAGAAAAACTAGTAGGGACTGCCCGTTGGAGACACTGGGAAGAATCTCCAAGAAGAAAGAGTTAGCAGGAATCTCGATTCTCCAGCAGACAAGACCAAGGAGCCACCAGCTGCTTGGCCACAGGCCTTTTGGTGCTTTGGAAAGCCCCAAATTTGAGATTATCTCCCTCAAATTTTTGGTTATCTCCTGGCAGAAGCAGAGGTAACACACCCAGGTGACCATCTAGGCAGTATCCCCAAAAGTACTCTTGACCTGCAGGAGTAATGAGCAGTGACACTATTGCTCATTTAGTTTTGTCCCTCCTTTCTGCTTTGCTCCCTTTAGTTATTCTACTAGTCTTCATTGACTTGCTGCTAAATTATTTTCATAGTGAAATAAGCCAGTCTGCAGCCTGACTGAAATAATTAATTACTACTGGGCTACAACCCAGTGTGAGATCCTCCATAGCCCCATCAGTGTTGGAAGCACAGGCTGAAAATAGAGTGTGAAAATAGAGTGGCTGTGGGTGTCGAGCGTTCCCAGAGGGCTTGGCCAGGAGTAGGGATGTTTAGGAGACACTTTGTGTCGCTTAGAGGCTGCTAATAAATTCAGCTAGAGGCTCTAAATATGTGTTTAACTCTGGTGGATAAGCCAGGGCAGATGGAAGAACTGAGATTTGGGAAATATATTTTTAAGAAGATCTGACTTGGGGTGGATTTTGGAAAGAGTCTGTGAGTGAAACAAGAGTTTGCTCTTATCGCTCGGGCAGTTTGAGATATCACTTGGTGAGATTTGAGCTGAAAGGAGAGAAACTGGAGTGAGGAAACTTGAATTTTAGCAAGCAAATGTAGCTGTACCTACAGTCTGAGGGAACCACTTTACACCTAGTGGGTGCTGACAGGTTTCAAGGCCAGGTTTTGGTTCCAGGTTGCTGTAGCTGGTTGTTTGCCCCCCAGCTCACAGACAGAAGCTTAAAATGTGCTGGTGTCCATCCAAAGAGGATCTGTCTGTTTATCCTGAGGTAGCAAAGGCAAAAGTGGGAAGGGTTCCACCTTAAACCACTGTAAACCACTGGTACCTGTTGCTGCCTGTGTGTTTATATGGGTTGTTTTTTATTTTGTGTTAATTCTGTGTGTTTTTGTTTAAAACAGCAGGGTAATACTGACTTGCTGCTTAGCAGTTTTGCTTCTGCTCCCAGGGCTCTGAATCTCAGGAGGAAACTGGTTAGAAATGTATCCCTTTCCTGCTGATGCTGTTAAACCAGCATATGAGGAGCATTAGGTAGGTTCCAGCTTTCTGGAGTCGTAAAAGTTCCTTTTTGGGGAATAAAACTAGTGGTTTTTGTAATGATGTGTCTGTTACATTCCTCCTCCAGAAAGCAACAGTACTAGCTCTTCCCAAATTATTGCCTCTCTTGAATTCTAGAGGCAGCTTTGCCGTTCAGGTTAGAACCCCAACAATCTAATACATTTAATTTTAAAAAATTAATGTGTTCTAGCACTTTACCAATCCAAAAGCCATCAAGTTCCAACAAACCTGGGGCCTTTCAAAAGCAGAGCAGTATTAGAATTAAAACCACATCGAGACCTGCGTATTAAGCTTTAGGTTTTTTACCCCCAAATAGTTGTATGTTGCTCTGGATTAGGGGGGAAAAGGTGGATGGAACTTGTGGAGCAGCTCAGCTGTTGGTGTGGGATGTCAAAGGGATCACCAATTTAGATGAGCCCTTTGCATCTGTGTGGGAGGTTTGGCCCCAGCACTGTTTGAGAGGCTGCTCAGACCAAGCCACCTCAGTGCTGTTTCTTACTTAATGCTTGATATGGAAGTCTGGGAATTGGGAGCATTATTGATTTGACCTCTTTTAAATTTCAGCAGCTTCACAAGAGACAGAGTGAGTTAGTAAGGAATGCAAAAATGTGTAAGTAATATATATTCTTCTAGCTGAAAAGCTGAGGCATATCCATTTTGTACCTTGTGTCTTCTTACCAGAGTAAGGAAGGTTGGACTGTCTTTGCTTTGGGGGAAATCTTTCTCTTTCCTTTCTCTCTCCTCCCTGCTTCCTCCTCTCCAAGCTGTGGGCACAACACCAGCTCTGCTTTCTCCTCCTTGTAGTAGGTGTGCATTTTCCTGGCTGGTTGGTGTCTCTGACTGGGGGGCTCTTGGTATTTTGATTTATTTTATTTTTTTTCCCTGTGCCCATAGCAGATCTGGGGATTTTATTTTTTTTTTTATAAGTGGGAAAGAGAATAAATCAGCCAAGTTAAACCCAAGGAACCCACAGCTGCTACACAACTTGTCCTCTGTTGTAGTAACATTAATGCCAAGTGGGAACGTCGGGTCCATAACGATGCTTCCTGGTGGGTGTAGATTAATTTGGGAGCGTTGCTCGTGAGCGTGGGGCAAATATGACCAGCAGAAATAACCCCCAAGCCCCTAAACTCTGCCTGGCAGCCCTGGGACTGTCTGCAGGTGCCTGTGTGGTCATCCAGCCCAGCACCCCGTGGCTTAACCTGCTTTTCTGTGTCTCAGACCCTCCGCAGGTGCTACAGCCGCGTGAAGGAGCACGGCGTGGGGAAGAGGAAAAGCAGCTACACGTTTGAGCAGCTGGAGCAGGTGTTTGGGCAGGGAGGATGGGACTCCCAGCCCTGCCAACCTGTCCTCATCAACAGCAGCGGCTTGTACCAGGAGCTGGAGTCGGATGGCAGCACGATGGAGGAGTATTCCCAGGAGGACTGGGGAAACCACAGTCAGGACCTTCACTGCTACCAGACTGGCGAGCAGGAATTGGGTAAGAAATCCCATCCTGGCACATCTCCAGCCTTGGATTTTACCTGTGCTCCTGCCTGTCTCACACAAACGTGTCTCAGTACCAGCTTTCATCTCTTGTGTGTGTTGTCCTCAGGGTGCCAAACACATCCCTGGGGAGAAAAGGGGCAGAAATCCCCCAGTCAGTCAAAAGGAACACATGGTTCTTGAAGCATTTTAGGGTCAGGACTGGAGTTCGAAGAGCCTGGCAGGAGGAAAGAAGGGCTGTGTGGCCAGAAATGATGGAGGAGGTGACACCTTCCCTGTCATTCCTTCTGCTCTCAGTTTTACTTCCCTTCAAGGGAAGTAAAATTCCCTTTCAGTGGTACCTGAGTGTTATCATTCAAACACCATCTGCTTAAATTGTGAATAGGGCTTCAACCTGCTGCTGGTGACACCAACAACTATAAAAAAGTGTTGTTCCTTCCTCTCTACCCTGATATATTGAAATTAAACATGTTTATATCCAGGCATGTGGCCTTTTTTAAAATACAAAAATAGCAAACAAGCTCACACTTGAGGATTGAGACCTAAACCAAACTCTTCCACATGCTTTTCTTGCCTGAATTATTGCTGTCTCTGCATAAGAATCAATCTATTAATTAATTTGGAGGTTTAGTTGTTGCTTGTGGGTTACTGAACTTTGTTAAACAGAGCGAGGTGTCACATTCCCAATGGAAAATGCACACCAGTCTGAGCAGTTCTGGGAAGAAGTGGCTTTCTTTAGGCTTATTTTTCCCTCTTGAGCCACTGCTCTTATGTGTGTGTGTTCCTCCCTTGCCTGAGCACAGGAAACTTTTAAGTTGATCAAATTCAATGGAGTTGCAAGTGAAGAAGGTGAATTAGATAAAGGCTTTTTTTTCCCCCCATTTGTAGGATGAAAGAAGGAGAGGAGATACAGTCGGGTATGTGTTCACATCTGTGTTTAAGGGACTGGTGAGTCAGGATGCTTTGAAAGAGCCTTAAATCACAGTTTAACATTAAAATTTTCAAGTTGGCTGTTGAGTGCATTCCGGTGCCTCAGACTTCTTCCCTGGGGGATTTAAAAATCAGAAATATGTGGGAGAGAAACGGTGGGGAGAAGAAAACGTTACAAAACGTATGTAAATGACGGCTAATTCTGTCTGGCTTGGCTTGTTTTGGTGAGTCAAAGCGGGATCTCCTGGTTTGTCACCGCTCCCGGAGCCGTTTGCGTGCGCCGGGGCTGACGATGTCCTTCGTGCTCAGAAGCTGTGAGCAAAGCACTTGGCACGCAGCATCTGAATGCAACACAGATGCAGTTCTGCTGCTGCCTGTCTTCAGCTGTGCCATTGGAAGCAGAATTGCCTTTTTTCTCTCTTTTTCCTATTTTTTTTTTCCTATTTCTTTAAACAATGCAGTTTGCGATTCAGTCGATTTTGTGATTTAACAGCAGGGGTTGGAGCCTTGTCCTTGAAAGGTTTTGCACTTGCAGGGAGAGATTCAGATCTTAACTGACAGCATCCCTTCCAAGTTAAAGAAAAACCAAATCAATTACAGAGGGTTTAGGAACTGGAACTGTCTGGTGCAGAACTCCAGCAGACTGCCTGGCTTAGGAAGCAACTCTGATTTGTTTTTTATTTAATTTCAGCCCCTGGAAAAAAAAAAAAAAAAGCCCTAAGTGCATTATTTAAAATATAATTATGTGTTGGAATTTTACCTTTCAGATGAAATGCCTACCACAAAAAGAACATTAAAGATAAAACAGGAGTCTTCAGAAGACGCGCAGTAAGTAGTTTATGAATGTTTTACCCTGGAATGTGTTTCCCTGGGGACGTTGTGCAGGAGGGGAGGATATTTGAAACTTCTGATTATAATTATAAATACATTGTGCAAGACTATTCATACAGTTGAATCTGCTTTTTGCATTATTGTTACCTCAGAACAGCTGAAAAGCTTTGCAACTCTGTTTCTCCTTGGCTTTGCCGTTCAGCACACCAAACGAGGCTTACTACATGGATGCAAGGACTTAAACCACGGATAAAATCCACAAGAAAAGCTCCCTTCCTTGGTGGGAAGGCATGCCAAAGCTTGGGAGTCTTTTATTTTCATTTTTATAACTTTCCAGACCTTATTTGTAACCTTTTGGCTGGGTTTAATGTAACAAACACTGGAGCGTTCTGAGCGCTTTGAGCACCCGGATCTCTCTCGCCAACAATAACACGGAGCATTCCCAAAAATGAAAGGAATTGTGCTGGATTTACTCCATCCAGGGCTGCTTTCTGCCAGCCTTCAGGGTTGTAAAACCCACGGGGTGGTTGTGGATCCATCTGGGGGGGTAGTGAGCCACGGCAGCTGGGCTCACAGACCCTTCAGGGCGTGTTCCACACGTGAGCTCCCCCACCAAGATGACTTGTAGTCATCTGGAGTCAGTCCGGGGTTTTCCATGGTGGAAAACGAGCTCCTGTAGCGTAGGAGGTCACCAGCACTGGGAACAGCAGCTGAGTGTCCCTGGTGAGTCACACAACACAGACTTTGTGCTGTAACTCCACGAAAAAATAAGTCCTCCAAGACCTGGGAAAAAACCCCCAACGTTAAAATATGAATAAAAATAAAATAATTTAAAAAGAAAATAATAAAGATAATTAACAAGGAACTTTCATTGTAGTGCCATACCTTCATCAAACTTCTCTCTTCAGGTGGATTTTCACATGCCCAAAGGTGACTTTTTTCTTCACGTGGAGCAAATTCAGTTTAGCAACTCCAGGACAATCTGGAGAAGAATATAACGTTTTTCAGTATAAATGTTGTTTTTGAACAGTTTCTTGGTGCTGCTCTGGAATAATTTTGCCTTTAGGGAGCTGCATAGCAAAATAATCCTGAATTTTCTGAGGTGAAGGCTTGGACTACCTGAAACTTCTCTTCGAAGTTTTGTACATGGACAGCTGGATTAGATTTTGGTAAATTAGACCTTTCAGAGTTTTATGGTCATTTTTCCCCCCAAATTCCCCCTAAAATGCACTGGAGTCTCTGAACTCTGGGACATTTTGTGGAGTGTGACAGTCCTACGTGCTCAGTGGAAGCACAAGGCATCTTCCAACCCACAGATTTGCTGAAAGCTGATTTTCCTCTTGTCTGTGAGGGGAAGGAACTTCTAGACTCTGACTTTGTAGGTTAAAAGCAGTCAGGAGTAGTAGGGCTGATACAAAGATAAGATGAATATTTGTTTGTTATCTTCAAAAAATAGATTTGTATCTAAAAACCACAGAAAATAAATAGTTGCCTAACTTTTTACCTCTTTGTGCACATTTTAAAATGTAGATAACTTAGTTCAAAGCTGGGGGACTTTGATTCATCTGCAGTCTTGGTCAAGTGCAGATTTTCAGCAGAAATAATCTCTATAAAATTGTTCAAATTATCTG